TGAGAGTAGTGTAATTGATACAAACATGTCTAGATCTTCATCTCCCCTGCTGCTTCTGCTGAAAGCCGTGCTATTCATGGAATAGAAGGAATGCAGGTGGGGGACTTTTGGTCCATTTTTGGCACCATCTTCCCCATCATCACCTGTCCAGCTGGGATTTCACCATATAATAATGCGTTTATGTAAAAACTGTAGATTGTGGGGTAAGAGAGAGTGGACAGGGTAATGCCTGAAAAGAAGTGCATTTTTTCCTCTTTCTAGTGTTACAAAAAATATTTTCTCCTCTGCAGCATTCCCCCAGTAGGAAGATGCAAGGAGGAGACTGAATAGGAATTGCTTTAGCGGGTGATCTGGCTACAAATGTCTCAGCCAAAGATTTTGTCCAGGTTCTGCACGGATGGCACAAGTCTTTCACACAGTCCCCCAAGATATTCCAAAATTTGGACAGGAACCACATTCCTTTTTGTAGAGAGCAAAATAAAATCCAATGGATATTCTTCCTGTTGCTCCTAGAAACATAGACTATGGACAAAACCTAGAATGTCGTACAGAGACAGGGCTCTCAGTAAACAGTGCAGAGGATGTGCCTCAGTAAAGACTTCAGAAATCGGCATCTCTTTGTTGTGTAATGATTCTGCTAAAAAGCAAAGACATTTACAATGTTTTCTAACGATGTGGTAGTCTCTGTAACCAATAATTAGCTTTTCCTTCAAAATATTTGAACTGAAAGTTTCCTATTGATGTGAATGATTAATAACAATCATGTAACCCGTACAATTCTTTTTACGCAATAATAATCTCCTGAGAATTTGCTCAAGTTCCTCAAGTAAGATTTGTAGTGTCTCTACATCTTTTGACAAAGTTAGACTCAATATTTATGTTTATTTAGTAAAAGAGCAGACAGGTCATTTCTTATGCAAGACATCAGCAGGGACCTTTGCATGCCTCTCCCATCATTGCATTTTGCAGAACGGTTTTACTTAGAGCCTTAGCCTGTGATTCATTTCGCATCCCCATTCCCCAATGAGATCATTTAGAGTATGTTTGATTTATCAGCAGCTAATCAGGCATTGTATCTTTGAGTATCTCAGGCATGTCTGTACAGATTAGAATTGTAACCAACAATCGCAACTTTTACTGAGAAATTTTAGATTTCAGAGTACTGAGAGCACATCATAATTGACCGTACATAGCACGTTGGCCTAGTTGTCTCTTTTGGGATGCAATCATAGGAATCTGGATCTGGGGGAAAGGGAAGAGGTCAGATGTTAGATGTTAAATTGTAGCGGGTGGGGGGGGCCCACCCCGGTAGCGGCTGGAAGAGCCAGCCAATGCAGTAAAGCCAAGCTTGTGCAGAATTATCTCCCTGTGTATTAGTGCAATATGAATAATATACGTTACCTTTCTAAGCAGGAAAAATGTAGCACCTTCCTCTTGTAGCCCAAGTTCTAGCCTAAAGCTAGAGACAAATAGAAGCAAGACAGCAGGACAGCACTTGCCAGTGGGACAGCTGACAGCTTCATTGTGATCTGGACCTCACTCTGTCCCGCAGGTTGCTCATCTTCCAAAGGCCTCTCATCTTCCAAAGAAGAAAAAGCTACATTCTGCCTAAGTGTTTCAGGTGAAAGTCTAGGTCAATGAACAGTTAAATGTTAATTTCCTTATAAAACAGATTGGCTTGGATTATTTAGGATCAGGGGATATTACCGTGGTACCATCTCTCTCATGCAAAGTCCCAGCACTACTGTTTGCCAAAACCTGGGCTGATAAACCATGCAAGCAACTGATCCACACTTACTCTGTGTTTTACACTCATCCATAAGTGGCTTCTGTTGGCCATAGGATACCGAGTGCTGGTCTGGCACAATATATGTATGTTCTCAGTTATGCAGTTGTATTTTTGTTCAAGCTTTTGCTTCAGGGTCTAAAGGGAAGCACACTTTGCTGTGTTTGGTTGCTAAAAGCATGATGCCGAGGAGAGGAGCTGAGCGAGCAGGGCTGGTTGTGGTTTGGTTTCATGCTGCTGCTCCCATCGGAGTGCAAGGCACAGACAAGGGCTGTTACAGCAGCACTCAGCTCATCTTTACCTCTTGTTGAGGTGCTTTAATAAGACATTAGAGAGGTGGTAGCAACCAAAAGGTAGTTCCATTTTAAGTATGGTCATAGCTGGACTGCTATTCCTGCTCTTCACACTGGTAAAATAAGACACCAGCAGAAGAGAGGGCTCGACGTTTAGCTCTGCGACAGAGAGGAAGCACGCCTGTTCCCAGTGCAAGCAGCAGGAGCAAAGCAGGAGCATTAATGATGTGTGGAGACAGGTCGGTTCAGTTCCTCTGCAATTTTTCCGGATGCATGAGTTTGAGTCTCACCTGCTCTATTGCCCTGCCACTTCTCTTGTGCTGGGGAGAGGGCACGGTGTCATTTAAACTCGTGATTCAGAGGCAGCCAGGTATGATGCTAAAAACCTCTCTCTGTGCTGTAGAAATTGTCATGGCTGATGGCTCAGAGTGACCTTTTACCTTGACTTTGTTCATCAGCTTTTAAAATGCAGAAGAGACTTCTACAATTGCTTCACGGAAGATACTGCAAGCCTAAAACACAAATCTGACTATCGGATATGCGCAGCGTAAGAAATTTCAAAGCTCAGAATGTTTTGGAATTTGCCAAAAACATGGCAAAACTATTTCTGTTGGATTTTTATGTGCTAATGGTTGAATCACTCTTGTTCTAGGAAAGGACCATAAACATAAGCACTTGCTTTTATCACAGTGAATTCAGTGAAAGGCATGTCTTTGATTAATTATCTACACCGTTGGGCACCACAGTCATAAGGCTCCTACAGCAGAGGAGGGTTGTCTGAAAACACTTGCTAAATCTTTCTAAAATCTTTCCATTTCAGATAACATTTTTATTTAGTGCAGAGATTTACATTTTTGTTTAAAAAAATTCATTTTGCTTTTGGTTCTGGAACCCACTTGCCTTTCCAGGGAAGACAAACAGTGCACTGCACATAGACTCTCAGAGATCAAATGTTAGCTTTTAGTGCGATATCATCTTCAGCACATTTTTATATTACTGCAGTTCATAACACTGCACCACAAGATGGAAAACAGTAAAAGCCTCTTTATTTATAAGGTTATTACAGGTATCCTCCAGTGTATCTCATGTGTATACATCCTGTCAAAATATTTCAGGATTTTGACAACGATGCCTGAACTTGTTTCTAGTGACATGACATGGCTTTTAACTGTATTTTTTTATAGTTTTAGTATTTTTAAGACTAGCTAATAAAACTGTTAGCCATGCTCTAAAAAAAAAATAGAGAATCCCTTGGTGAACTAAAACATTTAAATAGGCATCAGCTGAGTTTTGCCATTAAGTAACCTGTACAGGAAATTATTGTGATGTTCTTTATAATTGCTCTGGAAAAAAAAAAAGTCTTGTAGTCTGTGGAAGGTGTAACAGACCTAATTAATGCCCACACTGTTTCTCCAGAGAAACAGATTTCATGTAATGTAAATGTGATGCATAGAAAATGTTCTTGTGCTTATTTTATACTTTGCTCCTATTTTTCCTTGTACAGCTGTAGTGTATAGTATTTTGCTATGTGATGTGTATCTGTCTTCAGAATTGCAAGTTATATCATCATTTCTGAAATGTGAAAACAACTATGTATTTCCTGTATTTTTAAGTGTTAGTGTCAATTATTATCCAAGGTGTGTTTTCATGTCCAGGGAATGTGGATGTGTTTGTGCATGTGCACACATTCATGTTCATTATATGTGTGTGTAAGTGTAGGTATTATCAGGAGCATTCTTATTAGCTTTTAGAGCAAAAACTGAATCAGAGGCTGAAAATATTGACACATCTGAAATTTCAGAGCATTTCCAGGGCTTGACAATGGTACTCAACCAACCCTGCACCTTGTCACTGATGGGTGATTAGAGTTTATCTGATAAGAAGGTGTTCAAGTTAGAGTAAGGGATTTTTTTATTCACTTGTCAGTTTGGTTGGGGATCTCTGTGGTTTTAAATCTGAGTTGATATCCATGAAGTGGACCAGAAGAATCAGCGTAAATGGTCAGACTTTGCTGTTAGTAGTTTACATGTTAAGCTCTGCATGTGAGGAATCATTGTTTTATATGTTTATAAAGCTACATTGCTCTCTGTGTTTCTGTTGTGGCCTGGCAGTCCAGTACCACTAAATGGCGAATCATGATTAGCAGAGGGGGCTGTTCTGTTCTGTGCCTGGCAATGCTTACCCATACTAGCAGGTCAGCTTAACGGATGCTGTTTGCTGAGACGCTTTTGCTGGAGCCAGATTCTTCTCAGGGATATCCAGTGAAAGGGCAAGAGGCAATGGGGAAAAATGAAACATGGGAAATTCTGTTTAAATACAAGAAAAAGCTACAAGGGAGATGGAAGACTGGACCAGATTCCTCAAAGAGGTAGTATAGTCTCTGTCTTTGGAGGTATTCAAACCCTTCTCTGAGCTGAGAGGTTGGACAAGACAATCTCTAGAGATGCCTTGCAACCACAGCAAGTCTGTGGTTCTGTGATTTGCGTGACTGGGACCTAACCGGGCATGTCCATGCTTCCTAAACAGAGCAGGCTGGGGAATACTACCCTCTGTCTGCAGGCAAAGGTATGAGCATAGCTAGTGGTTTGCCGGTGTGCTTGGCGTGCTCAGCATCAGCACCCCAGAAGGCATAACTGAGGCTGGGCTTGCTGGCTTACTCCTAAACAGCCTTCAGGCCTAGTCTAAGGGCTGCCCTTAGGACACCTAGGCACACCCAGAGTTCTTGAGTCCTTTTTTCCCCGAACTGTGGTGGTGGTATCATATCATAGGATTAAGCAGCCAATTAATATCCTGAATTCTTGTAGTTCTTTCCCAGTGAGATTGCAGGAAGGGTCATCTGATAATCAGTAAATCCAAAGAGCTTGCTAACTCCATACACGCCTCTACTGGAATGTTGCTGATAACTGGCTTACATTTCGTAGGTGTGCAGTGCAGTCCAGAATCAAGATTTTACTGTTATCGATGACTACTGCACTGGACTGCGAGCTCTTCTTTACCTAAAAAGCATTGAGGAGCTTGAAGACTGGAATGGACAGAGTCCTGCAACCATGCGTCATCAGAAAGGAAAACCAGTACCTAGAATCGCTGATCTGATGGGAAAGGTATGTTGTTTCATTGCTATTCCTGTATAATGACACTGTCTTAGCTTTGAAGGCAATTCCATAGTCATTGTATGCAGTTTTTGCTACTTACCTTGGGTAACCACTGCTGCCGTCACAATTAGTCACCAAGTCTTTTTCCTTCTGGGCATTAACAAATATCTGAAGGCAGCTTAAGAAGACAAACTTGAAATGACTTGATATGGGATAACGTTTTTTACTAAAAATATGATTTCTCCATTCATAAGATCATGTCTTTTGAAAAAGTGTAGGATGTAAAACTACAAATGCACTGGAGCAAGTTCTGGCACTGCTTGTTTTAGAGAAACTCAACTCAGTTCAGACTGATACTAATACTGTGCCACAAGTTCCTGGGTGTTCCAGCCAGGGTGCAACATCCAGGAGACATGAAAGCCCCCTGGCACTGAACGTAATCACAAACCAGCCATTCACCGAACACTGAGTCAGGTAGGAGTGGCCCTTCGATCATCATACCTGAGCATCTCGTGGTCTTTTGTGTGTGCTAACTCACAAACCCCCTGCAAGACAGGGAAGTTCCAAGGGAGGAACAGCAACACCACACAATTTAATAGATTCTACAAGATCATTTAAACCTAGAAAGGCTGCGGTGGAATGGGAATGTAAACTATGGTCTCACTGAAATCGTAACCTCTGGACTGTCTTTCCTCTCTGCTCTAGTAGTTCCCTGCTACAAAAGCATCTCTGGAGATTTTTGCTACATGCAATGAGTTGCAGCCACCCCGGTACTGCTCACCCCTCTACCAGGGCACCAGCTGATCCACACTGAGAAGCAGGGAGGTGTAACTGGCTTCCTACTGATGCCTCACTGCCTACTGCTCTAAGCAAAATACCTGCACAGCAGGGAGGCTGAGCTTTTGTTTCTGGTTACTAGAGGGGATCACTTTGAAGACTGATTTCAGTTATACATCATGCCTATTGATTATCCTTCCGAAAATCTGATATAACACTGTTGAAAATGCTGTAAAAATAAGGAATTACAAACGAATAGGATTTGGAGTGTCAAACGCCTCCAAATCTCTGCTTATCATTGCTGATGACTGGAGTTGGATTTAGCAGGAGATTAGAGACTTCTGTATTGTTGTTGTTCTCTGTGGAGCTCTGAAAATTATAATATTACCTTCCAGGAGAAAAGTCAATCCTGTTCCTAAAGCTCTGGATAATGTGCTGCTTAAAAATAAAACAAGATATAAGCAGTTTCATTTTCATCTACTTATGTTAAGCAGTTAAACCAGGCTCAAAGGGTTATATCTAAACTTCCTTTCTTTAACACCTGTAGAAACATATGCAGCATTTCCAACTCATGTAACAGAGATGCATTGTAATTCTTCTTTAGAGCTACATTCAGTATTCTGTCTTTGTATTACCTTTGTATTTTACTAAACAGACAACCACTGTCAAAGATGTTTCTCATGTTCTTTTGAATGAGAAAAAAAGTATAATTTTTAGTCTTTTCCACTTGTCACTGCATCAATAATTAACTTTAAAAAGGTACTGTGAAAAGATGCTTTAAGGAAGCATTTAATAATTCAAAGGAATCTTAACCTGAAACAGGTCACATGAAAAAGAATGAAAAACAACCCCCTATATGATCTTATCTGGCTGCCTCTGTTAGGCATTTAAAAGGAACAAGGCACTCAGAATGTAACTGATTGTGTATTTTATTGCCCGTAGCACTGAATTATATCATTGGATCATTGCTACTAAATAATAACATATAAAGTTAACCATGCTGCATCATTGATAAGGTAGTGATACATTTTAGGCATGAGCTCCGGATGACTGTTTGTCCAGGAATGCACATTCAAGGGAAAAGGAAGAAAAATAGTACAACAGAGGTAAAAGGAAATACCATGATAAATGATCCTACTAGGGGCAATCAAATACAAAGGCTTGATATCATTAATATTTATAATATCATAATTAGCAAGACTGTGCCTAAGCAATGATATTGGTGTAACTAATTATGTTATCATAAACTAAGTTTGCAGTATTATAGGAATCAGTATTCTTACCTTCATAAATTATTATCAGTATCGGATTTCATGTATTTATGCTTAGTAAATTTAGTTAAGTACTCTAGTTTCATCTAGATTCAAACACAAATATCAAGTTTGCTTGGCAGCAAATCATAACACACTCTCTTTCTAAAATAAATTCACTAAAAGCATGTCCTTTCTATCTGGAAAAAAGAAGGTAGCCTGTTTATGTCGTGTATGTGTTCTCATCGATAAAAGTAATGTTTAGGAATGGGTATGTTATACATGGAGTAAAATGTGACAGCCAAAATCTTGCATTACAATTTTAAAATCTTAAAAGGAGCTGTCCAAGTTTGTCTTGGTATTACTGTGAGATGAAATGCAGTTTCTTCAGTAAGACCCCATGAGAAGCTGAACAGCAAATACTGATGAATATCTGCATCCAAAAAAAAAGAAGTGAAGATGCTAATTTTGATGTGTTGTATTTTTGATGTACTAAATGTAAAAATATAAAGGTTTTGTTACCAAATTCCCAATAATGTTCATATAGAAACACAGGGATAATTCCTAATAATTTTCATATAGAAACACAGGGATAAGACATTCAGGCAATTGACACTTTAATGAGAAGGAACTGAGGGACAATAATTATTTTCGACAGCATCAAGAACCACTTGCCTTCTGACTGTATACAAATTCACTGAGCCTCTCCAGTTTTGAATATATTACAGAGCTAGGCCCAGTCCTATTCTCCACTAAGTATGTTCATAATAGCATCTATTGTGATTCGCAGTGTGTTATCGATCATTACACAGAAGCACAGAATCACAGAATGTCAGGGGTTGGAAGGGACCTCAAAAGATCTAGTCCAGGCCCCCCACCAGAGCAGGATCACCTACAGTAGATCACACAGGAATGCGTCCAGGTGGGCTTTGAATGTCTCCAAAGAAAGAGATTAATGTCCATATTTTTACATAGAAGTGCACTATTCTTTTGCTAATTCATTTTTTGTCTTGATTTCAGTATCCAACATGTGCTAAATGAAGAGTACTGTCACAGAAGCGTGACACCATAGAGTTTTGTCATGAAATGTTGTAGTATTTGATGACCAGAGTAAACTAAAAGATAAATACTTTCTTCTGAATGGTACACCTGACATCAGATTGAAGCTGTCTTGCCATGCAGTCACCAGACAAATGACAAACTTAATAGTTATGACTGTCAGTTGTTAGATTTATCGCAATAATTTCATTCCTAAACAGAAAGAGTACTACAAATACTGTGCTAAATAGTGTAATATGATAAGCAGTTTAATAGCAAACATATCAACGTTTGGCTGAAAAGGAGAATCATGTTGATTATTTCATGCTTCTGCATTAATAGTTCTTAACATATGAGAAGCATCACAACACTGGAAAATATTTTGGAAATTTGAGTCCTGTTTTTATGTTTTTCACTGTTGCAGAATGGTTTTTTTGGCATATAGACCCTAAATTTATCATGTTTGAGCCAGCTAGTAGATGTTTTCTGATAGTCTCTTCAACAGCACTAGCTTTTTCCCTTTTGCTAACACAGCAGTTGCTGCTGGAGCCAAAACTTGCCCTTGTGCTAGATGTGACCTGGGGTACTACACTGCCTGTAACAGCAGTGAGACTCCCACTTAGGAACGGTAACCTCAGCTGTGATTTCCAGTCACCAAGTGATACCTTTCTCCAGAGCTCCACCAGTTTTATTCTTTTTTTTCCTGTGGTTGCAGCTTTATCCATAACCACTCCAAAGAAGGTCCTAGCGTAAATGCCGCGTCAGACTCACAAAGGTGGACAAAGACAGTCTTCTGGGCTTCCTTCCCCATTGCTTTTCTGATGAGTTATTTAGTTGGGCTTTTTTCTGTGGGAGGACCTGACATTTGAAGCCTTGACACAGATGACTGTCATTAATATCACCTCTGAATCACCTTTCCATTAAATGCATGGAATAAAACTTGTCAGCTTGTCTCAGCTATAATCTCAGCTTGCAAATCTCAACGCTGAGATGAGAGAATGGCAAGGTAATGATGACACCACACTGCTGCTCACTGACTCCCTCGAGGAAGAACTTTTGTAAAAGCACACTTACCTCAGCATGAATTTAGGACTGAGATCAAGTGCATGATGCAATCAGGCAGTCAGTCAAGATGTAGAACATGCTCTTACAACCTACAATTATTACAGTGCCTGCATAAGAGAGAGGAAGAGCACATGTAGTATTCTTATATTCCAAAATTAATAAATTATTTTTAAAAATAATGTTTCTGAGTTTCTCAGGAAGATTACATGACCAAAAGCAATAAAGATAACTGTTCTCAATAGGTGTGTGGATAAAGTACAGTATTCCCCAGAGGTGCAATTTGATCTCCTGTGTGTAGTCACTGTCTCACCTTGTCTCTTTATTACAGATTCTTTTATTAGTTGCTCACTGATCTTACTGCAGAGAGCTGAAGTGATTATGTCCAGAAATGCACTAATGTCAGCTGGTGGTCACAGAAGTGGTATAGTGTTTTTCTGTATAAACTTCCACCTAATGTCAGCTATAAAAATCATACTTTTTACAGTAGCATCCATACATGCTGAGAGCTAAACTTTAAAAATATGGCAGTGTATTTAGTCGGTAGGTGTGTGCTTACAGGAAGATATAAGTTTCGTACCTTGCTTTCAGTGCCAGAAGTTTTGCAAAAACTGACATTTATCTGATCATGTCTAAAGGTTAAAAAACTAAAAAGAAGAAAAAGTAATAATATAAGCATCTTGATGCCAGAAATATCCAAAACCCACAAATTGGCTTTCATAGTGGATCCTCCGCAACTGTTAGTGTTATGCTGTATTGCAAATGTAAAAGCCATATGTGATAAAAACACATTTATAAAAGGTGGTTTTCTCCACTAGACAGATGAGAGTGAATGAACCTAAACACACACAGTGTATGAACTTCAGTGAAAAATCTTGTCAC